TCGCATCAACAGCGTAGGTCTTCCATCCGCGCGAGCCGCAGCTGCCGCCGGAGGCCTTCGCGGCCGCGCTGCCCATCCACTTCCACCACCGCATCGCCACGCCGGCGCAGTGCCCGGCGCCCTCGCCGCTGGCGCGCGCGGCCGCGCGCGGCGCCATCCCGCCCCCGCCCGACTTTGTCGTCACCAAGGATATCGACATGCTGCTCGTGCCCGTGCTCAACGTCGCCGACACCACCCTCGGGTACGCCTTTCTTAAGGGCGTTACGGGCGCGTCCATGCCGACCGCCGCGGGCGACACGCCTGACGCCCCGCCGCACTTTATTGCCGGTAGGTTCTCGTTTGATGCTCGCCGCCGCGACTTCCTCATGGTCGTCAACTCGATGAGCCCGCACGTGACAGGCCTCATGTCCATCCGCATGCGCGACGACCACCGCGCGCGCGACCGCTGCTTCTTCGCCATCCCCAAGGCCGACTACGGCCCGGGCAACCTGCCCGGCCGCGCACTCAGCGTCCAGTGCCAGGTCGACTACCTCGTCGACGGAGACGACTCCGACATCCCCGCCACCCCGCCCTACGAGTACGACCCCAACGCGGAATACGGCGACCAAGATCGCCCGCCTGCGGAGGACGAAATCTGTAGCGGCATGACTTGGGACAACCACGAGACTCCCAACCATATTGCTGATCCGCCCGACGTCGAGAGGGATTTTGCCCACCAGGCCGACTATGATGATGATGACGACCCCACTTCCGACGTCCTGTTGGACCAGGTCGTCCCGGGTATGCCCAACATCTCCGCCGACCTTTTCCTCCCACAGCACCAGGCCGAGCCGCTGCCCGAGTCGTGGGCGGACGGATTGGACGCCATGGGCGCCGTCATCTCCCCGTTTGAAGATCCAAACGGCGTCATCCCAGAGCTCCTCAACGACTTTGTCGTCAAGGGCGGCGCCTTTCCCGACGACGATGACGTCAATCCCATTTTTTCAGACGACGAGGACATTCTCTCCGGCATCAACTCCATCATGCCCGAGAGCCCCGACCCCGCCCACGAATACCGAAAACAAAACCCCACTACCGGCCACAAGCGCCGCCCAGATGTCCTCGACCAACTCGCCTTGTCGTCCCCGGTCAACTCCTCCTCCACAACCTCCAACGGCACCGATTTCTCGTTCCACACCGCCTTGCCCGCCTCCGAGTTGAGCTGGATCCTGTCCTCGGCGGGCTCCACCCCAGACGGTGTCGGCGTCCCCCGAGTCCCCGGCGCTAACGACACCTCGTCCGGCTCGTTCAACATGAACTCGCTCGTCGACTCGCTGGCCACCATTGAGAAGTCCCTCAAGGGAAGCTTCTACGGGCCCAAGGTCCGTAAGGACGTTCTTCACCCACTCACAGGGGAGCTCGTGTCCCGCTGCACCGGCAAAGTCCGCGCCAGCATCGACAACGTCGACGCCTCAAGTCTCTTCCACTTGCGCAAAATTGCCGCCCAGACCTACTACTCGTCCGTCCTCAGCGTCGCCCCCGACGCGCGCCTCCTACCCCTGTCCCTTGCCTCGCGCCCGTTCATCTCAGCCCCGACCACGTCGACCAATCTCAGGCAACCCACCGATGAACCGAGACGAAAACAGGGACGCACCGAGCCGCAACACCGCCCCGCGCCCGCGCCCCTGGCCCCGAGGCCCGTCGTCACCATCTCCCTGCCCCCGGGCTTGCCGCATCCAGAGGTGCTGCAGCTGCCGGAGCCCATCGCCTCCACCACGATCCCGCCGGCCCCGACAGACGAAAAGTCGGCGCGGGAGGCCAAGCTTGAAGCGAAGCGGATAAAGAACCGTCTCAGCGCGGCTAGGAGCAACCAGAAGCGACGCGCGCAGCTAGAGGCGCAGAAGCAAGAACTCGCGGAGCTGCGCGAACGCGTGCAGGAGCTCAAGTGGAGAGAAACTAAAGTCTCGGAGGAAAACGAGATTCTGAAACGCCAGATCCTTTCGGAGACATGAGTCGAGTCGTGTCATGTAGTTTGTCTCTGTGCACTACTGCAAATAGTTTTCTTGTACTCTGTGCTGTACCATAAAAATACCGTTTGTCGCTCGCGGGCATGCGCTCTACTAATGTACACAGTTGCAGATACACAATTGATCGGCCGCGTCGGTGAGTTGCTGCTCCTCGCGGGGGTTTTTGGCGTAGAGTCTTCCCCGTTGCGTGAGGTCTTCGCATGACACACAATGGAATACGTCTCCCCTCCCTCTATCTGCAAAGCTGGACCGTCATGCAAGAATATGGTTTCTCCCAAATTCCAATCCGAACCCCATCGCTTCAGGTCATCTTCTCTCCGACTAGGGTGTACGTGCTGTATATTACACCATTTAGGTAGGTAGCCACACTTGATGCATGGCACGCCTTACCCTCCCTCACGACGTCTTCGGATCAACCAACTGAAGGAGGCGTTGGCCTGCTTCCTCCAGCTCTCTATTGCGCCTCCTCAAAACCTCCAGTTCCCGCAACACCTCCGGCGGGACGACAGCAGGAGCACTGGCACTACTGGGCATGCCAGCCGAGCCCGCCAAGTTTCCGTTTTCTTGTGCCTGTGCGCCATCCACGTGCACCAACATCCCGGGCTCTCCGCCACCCCCCTCTGCAAACGCCAACTTGACAGCGTCAGCAACGACGCTCTCGGCCACCTCTCGCACGCTGCTCTTCTCCGGCAGGTTGACCCTGGGTCGAAACGTGGAGGCCAGGTCCGGGTCGACGGCCTTATCAAACGAGACCTCGATTTCATTCTTCGCCACATCTCTCACCATCTGGACAGCAGCTTCCTCCCCTGGAATCACCAGCACGCCGTCGATAGGCGCCGTCGTGCCATGTCTCGCGTAGCTCGATACGAGCTGCCGCGACCACGCGTCGTAAATGCGCACGACGCCGTCGGCATACCCCACGATCAAGTCCTCGCCCATCGGCGAGACAGCCAGGGCGGTCACGGCCGGCGGCTGCTCCCCAGGCGACACGGGCGGCCTGATCTTCGGGACGCTGGCAGCCGAGACCGGGGAGTCGGGCAGCGCGGCGACGTCGAGCACGAGCACCTCGCCGGAGCTGAGGCCGACGTACGCAACGCTCTCATCGGGGGAGAGCAGGGCCTCCGTGGGCGGGGTTTTGCACAGCACGGTGGCGATGCAGCGGCCGGACGACAGGTGCCACAGGCGGGCGGCGCGGTCCTTGCCCGCGGTGAGGACGCGCGCGGAGGCGCCGCAGAAGCCGACGGACAGGGCGGTGCACGGGAGCGAGTGTGCGTGCAGGGAGAGGCGCGGGCGCGGCGGGTGGTCGGGCGGGCGGGTGAGGTCGACGAGGTCGGCGAGGACGAAGACGA